AGAGGAGGTAGATGAAGGGGTTGAGGGCGGAGTTGGAGGCGGAGATAATGCCGAAGATGGCGATGACACTCGGGTCGAGGTTCTTGCCGAAGGCGAGCACTAGTTCCTGCGAAGGAGAGAGGAAAAGGCAGATAAATGAACCAGTGAATAAGGAAATAAGCGGAGGAATCTTTGTCGGCGTCAGACCGAAAAGTAAAGGACACAATAGATAAAAGTCTGACAAAACATTTAGATTACTTAAAGGAACGATGCAGTTATAATCAAAGTCTTCGTATGGAGCTCACAGGTCAGCATAAACTTGGGCGTCGTCTGTATTTAACAAGTATAAAGATTTCGAGATGTCCAATATGATATATTCGAGGATTATGTCATGGCAAGCCGAGTTCCCTTACCTGTATGACGTAAGGAGTGTTTGTGACGAAGAACGTGACGACTATCACGAACGTCATCTTTAACGTCTTTGTCTTGGCTTTGGGGAGCAGGCTGTTGGTCCGGCGACTGTCGCTGTGCCCACGCTGCCCGCCTCTGCCAAGAAACGAGGGGGGGAGGGGGTTAGTCTTCTTGGTATGGAGTGTTTAGACTCTCTCGGTCTCTGTCTCTCTCCCTCTCTCTCTCTCTCTCTCTCTCTCTCTCTCTCTCTCTCTCTCTCTCTCTCTCTCGTCTCTCACTCTCTCTCTCTGTCTCTCTCTCTATCTCTCTCTCTCTGTGTCTGTCTCTGTCTAGCCTGAGCTTTTGTCCCCAGAGTGAAAGGGGACCCTTGGCCCAGGGAAATGTGCCCCCTCCCAGGGGGGTCCCGGACCTCAGCCCTAGGACATGGGCCCCCGGCAGCATGGGTCAGAGCTGCCCCCTCGCCCACGAGGATGGGCGCCCCATGGCAGCCAGGGTCAGGGCTGCCCCCCCCCCCCCGCCCAGGACAAAGGGCGTTTTAACAAGCCGGACAGTGATAACAGCTCGATCAGAAATAGTGAAACAAGTGAACTCAGAGAAAACAGTGGATACAACAAAGAAACAAACAGTGATGACAATAAAGCCAACTAACAGACAGGCAACATAGTGCTACACACGATTCTTTGCTTTATTACAACCAAAAAAGCATGGGAACGTTTAGTGCTGTGTGATCAAATTAAGAAGCTGTATTGCCCAGAAGAGATAGAAAATGCCTACATCATTCTTTTTATATCAGACTCCAGAAAAAAAAGAAATATCACCAAAGACACCAAAAGAATGATAAATTTCATAACGCACACAATGCTAAAAGAACGATAATTTAAGTGTTTGCCACAACAACCACACACCCCCCGCCACTGACTGGTCTCCGCCACCAAAGAAACAGGTATCTCTACACCTTTTGTGGAAAATCTTTCAAAAACAAAAAAACTCCAAAACACATAAACACAGCATGAACCCTCTTTCAGCAATCAAAATTGATTTGCTGGTCGGAATGTTCTCCGAGGAACAATCTGCAATAAAGTTTGATTAGCCAAGGAGTGGCGTCTCCCCAGCCAAAGGAATGCCGAAGGAAGCATCCGTCGCAACAGACTCGACCCCATCCCCTCACGCAACACCCGGTCTCCCATCCCCTACCCACGGTCAATCTGCCTATCAGTCTTTCCCTTCCGCATCCCCTCCTCCTGCCGGAATGTCCTTAACCTCTACACCAAATGAACACACACACACCAACCATACCCCCCCCCCCCCCCCTTACAACTTTCACGGCAGTACCCACGACCAACCCGCCCCCTCCTTCCTCTCCCCTACCCCCTCCCCCTCCCTCCATCTCTACCCCACTCCGACCCCCCGCGCCCGTGACCCTGCTGACGCGCCAGCCCCCCCTCGTCCGGTGCCACGCAAGCGATCACCCAACAAGCGCTGAGACGTCAACAACCGGTATGAGGAACGAAGCTTCCACACAAGTAACACCCAGAAGAAGCGACGGTAGAAACAGGAGAAGGAAAAACAAGCAAAGACATCTTCCACCAAATCGCCACTGGGAGGATGCCACACGCACCACCACGCCTGGAGTACCTGCCCCCCCCCCCCTACTACCTCTACCGACTCCGCGAAGCACCACAAAACTCGTCGTCAAGATCAACGCAGAACGAACGGAAACACAGCAACAAACAAACGTGCAGCCGGCAGGGAGCGAAAGGAGGGGGACAAACAACAACGGAAGAAAAAAGCAAGTGAAGAGGAACTCCTCTCTCTCTCTCTCTCCTCTCTTCCTCTCTCTTCTTTGTCTCTCCTCTCTTTCTCTTCTCTCTCTATCTCTCTTCTCTCCTCTCTCTCTATCTCTATCTCTTTCTCTCTCTCTCTCTCTCCTTCTCTCTCTCTCTCTCTCCTCTCTTTCTCTCTCCTTTCTCTCTCTCTCTCCTTCTCTCTCTCTCTCTCTCTCTCTCTCTCTCCTTCCTCTCTCTCTTCTCTCCTCTCTCCTTTCTCTCTCTCCCTCTCTCTCTCCTTCATCCTCTCTCTCTCTCTCCTCTCTCTCTCTCTCTCTCTCTCT